CCACCTAAATAGTGAAAACAGGTAGTTCTTGAAGCTCCGAATAGCTTTAAAAACTAGGGGGTGTATCAGAATACTAGGTACAATATATATAGGAAACCATACATAACCTCGGGGGACTCGGCTATCCCACAACAAAAGTACGAAGATTAGTAATCCAGATCCTATATAGATTGCATAAATAGGGATTTTTGTCAAACCTCAAATTACGGCCTCCCTAGGCCATAAACAGGAACCTTGGTTTTTGTTATGGTCTAGTGGAAAAGTACGCTGTATTTCGTTCAACAATTTTTGTCATTTTTAGTGAGTCGGAGAATTTGATACCTGTCATTTCAACCAAAACATTTCAGACAGTCAGATTTCTGTCACTTACCATACGCGGTGGCACGTCTGGGGTAGGGAGAAACATTGATAAACAGAAACCAAGGCCTAGATCTATACAAGGAATACGAGGATACCTCGAATAAACAAGGCAGGTAGGTATGTGGTGTTCCTGAATCATCCTTGCCGCTGATGGCCAGGTACAAATTCTCGGCGCTTCGCCATCTCTTATCATAGGTCACGATGGCCACCCTTGAGACGAAAGAGACCTGTTGTTCAACCACAAATTTGATACAAACCACGCGCAGACTCTATCTGTGGGTCTAGTAGGCGCTTTAGTGCTTGTTCCCCGATGTGTCTGCCAAGTCTGAATGGTAGGCAATTATGCTCCGGGGATGTACAACCCCCAGTTGCAAGGCCACTCACTAAAATTCCCGACGGTCCTGTGAATTCAACTCAAACCCCCCAAGGGGAATTAGCGCGGCCGTTTCCCATTGAGGCGCTCTGCATAGCTTATTGCAGTATTACGGGCTGAATGTCGTCTTCGGAAGACGCGCTCATTTGGTTTACTTTTGTGATAGCATAGCGCTTGCTACACTAGTCCCTTGGATCAATCCTGGGACTATGTTTCCGCAAATTTACATATCACAGCTGATATCTGTTGACATCATTTGAGACAGAGTCGTTTGAACATAGTACCTGCCTTTGCTTTTATCCCCCTCCCTTTCTATCATCGCCCCTGAATGGTTCTTCGTTCCTTCATATCAACTTCAAGGAGTATCCTTGCCGGCAAGGTTGTCATTGAAAGTTACACACTCTCCGTCGGCCCCTCTTTATCATCTTACAAGACCCAACGACACTCCTTCATCATGACCTTAAACTCATCCCCAGACATGGAGGAATCAAACTTTCTGGAACGGAATCCGGTCATTCAATTTGCACGACGTGGTCTATCTTTCTTGATTTTCGGTGTTGCTATTGCCGTTGTAGCGTGCGAAGCCCCGCCCTTGCGACATTATAAGAACACCTCCCAGTAGGCGAGTGCCGGTCTCGCACTGTGGCCTTTGAACTTTGACCTCCATCCAACAATCGTCGCCATTTCGCGCGGCTGTATAATCACCATCTTGAATTTGGTATATATCGCGGTTACGCTTCTGCCATCCCAAGTCTAACACCCCTCCCATTGTGTGGCCACTCCTGCTACCACAAACTAACACCAATCCAGTCACACTCCCGTATCTGATGACTTAAAATCTACGCCTCAGCTTCAGCCATCGCAGGCTTTTCAAACACCCTGGTTGGCATCCTATTTATAATCTGCCTACCGTTCTCGGATTACCCAGCAGGGTTCAGCAAGAACGAATGCCTCCACAGCTGGACCTGCAAGTGGAAAACCGGGACAAGCAGCACTCAGGTACCCCGTCACTTCGATCGTGACTGCATCAACACTCGTACTGGCTTTGCGTTGTTGCGTGTTCATCTTGGAATGGAGGTGTTGGTGGGACTCGTTGCTACTGTTGGCATGTGGTTCCAGCGGGAAATTTCTTGTCGTCAGACAAAGCAATTCCAAATCAAGAGGTAAGAGATTGCTACGAAGCAGGGGCATCGCAACTGACGAGTTGGCGACTTCTGGAGAACTTGGGTGCTGCGTAAGTGTGGCGTTGGTTCATCAATCTACATGTACAAAAATGGTCAGCCGCTTGTGTGGCCTAGCGACGTATCTTGTTTCTTTCTTTCTGGTAGAATTGTTGAATGTCTCGATGAACGTCTTTTTGTAGATTTCTTCTCACTATTGTCAAGGTTGACAGGTAGAATTAAAAAAAAAGAGGCAGGACAGGTCTTGAAACGTGTGGATAACTTATTGATGAATAAAAATGTGTCCCTCTGTTCAGTAGAAGGAATGTGTTCATGGTGAAATATATGCTAGGAATTGATTCGCTGAGGGAAACGGGCTCGATTTCTCTGTGGTTTCCTTTCACTTAACCATGGGTCATTGTTTATTGCATTAAATGCTTTGCAGCAAGATGTAGGACATGATTTGCTTTTAAGTATGCTGTCATTCTAACTAATATCCCAGAGTAAAGATTCCAAAGCCATCAGTCTCAAAATGCAGCCCCTATTCCTAAAATGACAAGAGCCAACCAGCTACCAGCATAATTTGCAACTGCAGCTCCCTCTGATGGACTCGTTGACTTTTCATTCACAATAGAGGCTTTAGTCGGTCCAGCAGTGGTAGAAGAACTGCCAGTTATGGTTAGACTAGCATCTGTGTCTGTAGGTTGTGCGGCATTAGACCCGGGCAGAGTCCATGAAGGTGCAACAGTGGTCTCTCCTTGGTCATATGCGTTCGCGGTAGCGCAATCATTTACACTGAGTTGTTTGGCTGCGGACGAATCCGGATCGTCATCGGAGCAGTCTACATAACAGCTGTTCACGTATGTTAGTACTGGGGGTCGGAGGTGCATTCTATTGAGGAATCGCAAGAGTCAGAAAGATAGTCTACTCACCTGGCAATGTTTGCAGCGCCTGAACACTTGCAGTCCCAATCACTTGAAGCACACTTTGCGAGTCCACGCTTCATGATCGCGACACATGAATCTACTACTCTGTTTATTATAAGAAGCAAATCTTAAGTGGCAAATCGTAGGCGATTAGAGGCTCATCAGCTTACTTTTGGGAAGTGCAGTTCGAGTTGCCGCTTGTGCTTGCAGATGTGGGTGTTGCATCTTGAGCGGCGATGAGTGTAGCCGATGCAGCAAGTAGAAGGGAGAGATTAGTAGTAAAGAAATGCATCTGGATGATGAATAGTTCTATATAAACGAATACAAGGACTTAAAAAAATGCGAAGATGCGTTCCGATAGGTATAAAGTAGAATTTGAGAGTGAAAGTTCAAGTTGACTCACTGACGATCTTATATTGGATGTGTGGGAGCTTGGATTTTTGGATCTCGAACGTTACATTCATCTTAAAAACAATGAAACCATTGGGCCCTCTTTCAAGGCCGTGTCTATTCCCGGAGCGTTGACAGGAGGGGGAGTCCGAAGAAAGCTCCCGCATGGAAAATCTTTTTCAGGCCCACACTCTCAGCCAGGCATTATGCACATTTATGCCCAAGCAAACTACGTGGGTAGAAGAGAGAGATTGAATAAGCCAACTATAAAAGATGGTTCCTTGCGTGTGCCGGGTTAGTATGAAGACCTAAACAACAAGTTTGGTTGAAACTCAAGATCGAACCAGAAGACAAATTCCCCCAAAGCAGTATTCTGGCTCAAACAGGATTGCGAGGTACCATGGGAGTTGATTATAAGGTGCTTCTGCGACATCATGACCCCTTTTGATGTCGCATTCCAGATCTCTGGGTTGCATTCTTTAGTCGAAGCCTCTGCTTGCGTTGGCCAATGGTGAATGACCAGAACCGCATTAGGAATATCTGAAGTCTCCACCAACTGGCTACAAGTTCCTATGTTGTACTGTCGCATTTAATATTAGTCATGCAATGGAAAGTAGTTCGCTACTCGCACATCCCTCATCGAGATCTTCTCCATATCCATACTTGGGAATCGTTTCTTGCCTTTGTAAATCATGATACCATGATGTCTCAATAACATAGTCTACCATAGTAGAAAGATGTAGAATGATGTAGAAAGATATTGAAGATCCAACTAAGTACTTCGCACCTTCCTATACAACGAGGTCGATCTAAATCGTACCTGCCATAAGCGCATAAATTAACGATCCCACACCCAAGAATACCCGGAGCGATCGCGATCTTAATAGATACAACATCTGAATTTTAAATTGCCAAACTATTACCACTCAACAGCACAATGGGACAGCTATTTTCCTCACGGTCTGCCCCCAGGTCTGACCGCACATGATGATGGCAAGGCTGGGGCGCCTTAGGCCTCCTTGGGAGACTGTGGGTACATACCTAATAACGCTCTCTGTAGGGCCAGGTACATTTTGGCCATAAGCATTGAGGGATTTGGAGGGCAAATCGCCCAAGTCAACAGACGCCATAATGGCAGTCTTCGGTGTCCATCACGACAGTCGAGGGTTTTATCTGGCAGGAAATTAGTAGATTATTCACTAGCCACAAGGGCCCAGAGGGGAGCTCCATTTTTATCAAAAAAGACACCTAAAAAAAATTGCATCTGAAATATAATGTTCGTAGAACAGAAGGCAAAGCGCAAACGCTCTAAGCTCTACCATTTGAGCGATGGACACCAACTCCTTATAAACTTCTCTTCACACAACTCCACCTCCTAGCTTGGTACTGCTATGAATCTCAACAGTAAGTAGTTCAGTGCGACTCTTTCTTATATTGCTTTCTTGGGTCCTTTTGTTCCTCTGACTACTGCTGTCAGTTTTGGGAAAGATTTATTTTTCTTCCCTATTCTTCTTCTTCTATCAAAACGTGAATGTTATCTCTTTGTTTCATTGCTACCCCAGGTGTCAATCCTCTACCATGCTATCGTGACAATCGCAATCTAGTCCCATGTGTTCATCAAGGGAGCAGGCAGCAGATGGATGTCCAGGACTGCCAATGATGTGGATGGGTTTATGCTTTCCAGAAGTGCCGCCAGTAGTAGCAGCATATGAGATCTCCAGAGATGAGATGTGCCATTTGAGAGAGTTGGGTTCAGCTGTATTTTGTAGGAGCTCAGGCCAGCACAAGTAGAGCTTTGATTGCAGAGATGGGTTGATCTATCCGAAGTTGGAGATGACGAACATCATACATAGCTGCGACACCGCCTTTGGCAGAAATTCATCCTTCTACACTGCACTGCGCCTTGTCCGTCTGGATCTCCTCCTGGCACGCGAAAAGAACATTGACCATGACAACCCCTATTTTGCCAGAAAATCAGGACCTCAATGAGGAGGCCTATGACTCTGCCGAGGATGAAGATTTCGAGCTAGACGCGGCACCCGACGACTCCGACTTATCTTCCGATGCCGATGAGGCCGCAGAACCCGCAAAGAAGAAACGAAAGACAGACACCCAATCTCAATTCCCCAAGGTTGCAGAACTCGACTCTGGAGATGAAGCCACAATCAGAAAAGCGAGGGAAAAGAAAGAAAAGAAGGCCAAGGGAAAGAAACCCAAGGGCAAACATGCGCGCGATAGCGACGAGGATAATGACGACATTGACATGGATGACGATGAAGGAGGAACAGGAGGATTCGTACGAACACGCGCAATGAAACAACAAACGTGAGTTTTCGGTTCTAGTCAAGGTTTACTGACTTATATCGGGTTCTAATACGCGTTTCCCGAGCAGACAAGAAGAACAGCGCAAACCGCTGGCCGGAATTGACGGCGCGACCGTGGATATAGACGCCCTTTGGGAGCAGATGAATGCCCCCCAAGGCCATACCAGCTTGCAGCCACCTCAGACCCAGCAGATACCCGAATCCGCTCCCGAATCCGAGCCAATGAATGCACAGGACCAGGGTGCCAGAGATGCGGAACACAGAATCGGCCATGCCACGCACGTCGATCAGATGATCAAGATCAAGCGCACCTACAAATTTGCCGGAGAATGGATCACCGAGGAGAAGGTCGTGCCCAAACACTCGGCGGAGGCTCAGGCATTTTTGTCGGGTGGGGAGAATGTCGAACACACCGATGAGGATGCCGCAGCATCAAACGCCGCTCGTAACCTTCGGCGACCGCTTCGCAAGATCTCGCGATTCGACCCCAACCCGACCGGTACGATTAAGAAGAGCTGGGAGAAGAAAGTCGTTGCTGATGACAAGGGTGCGCGCGGACCCAAAATCAACACCGTGGAAAAGTCAAGACTCGACTGGGCCTCGTACGTTGACTCGGCGGGTATCAGGGACGAGCTACGCACACATAGCAAAGCCAAGGAGGGTTATATCGGTCGCATGGATTTCTTGGGTCGTATGGAAGACAAGAGGGAAGACGAACGGCGGGCTGCCCGGCTCAAGGGCGCATGAAAACAGCCCTCGTGCGTTCTCTACCCAAACCCCTTCTGGTGTCAGATACACTTTTCCTCCCCGCCGCAGGCTGCTATCAGGACATGGCTACCGGAGTCGTGATATTACGAAACTCTCCTACGGTCTTTGTTTATGAGCAACGGCTCACTTGAATCCGATCGCAAGGGTGAGGTCTCGACCACAAGCCTCACCCGACTCACCGGTGCCTAAAATGGCTTTGTGCTCAATGTCTGCTGCAGGGCCAGGATTTATTCACGAGAGTGGCATACCTCCTTGCCTCAAAACTTCGAGTCCAAACATGACCATGTGGTCAACGGCCGTGAGGTATAACGACCAGTTTACCTTTCTACCCAGTGAAATGTTACGATCAATCAAAAAGATGCTCATAATATCAGATTAACGAGATTTCGAATCTGTGTCAACATGTACTATTTATAACAGTCATCCAGAAATACCACTTCAGCGACACTTTTTGCAAATCCACAAGAACCATCATGACCAGGACACATCAAACCCGTTCCCTATTCACTTGGGCACATACTTGATGCCAGTGTCTGGGCAGCCAGAAGCAGTGACTAAAAGGATCAAGTTGTCAGCAAAAAAGAACCCACCAGAAAGAAAACAAGAAAACTTACGCGCATCGACAGCCTTGTATTTTCCATGAATAGTATTGCCCTTGACATGGAAGAAATACCAAACCTGGTTCAAGTTGCCACTAGAGCAGCCAAGGTAAACCGAGGCGCCATGCATGGAAGTAAGAGCCTGCTGGATCGCGCTGAGAGTGTAGGTTTTGGATGTACTCGGAGTAATGCCAGCAGCGGCAAGAGCCTGGGAAACAGTCAGAAACGAACGGCACATGTCATGAAGGGCAGAGAGAGGACAGACCTTGTGCGTATCCAACCTCTTGAACAAATTAACCGTCTTCTTGAAGAAATCACCCACTTCCTCCTGTGGCTTATAGCTGGAATAGCAGCTGGGGTCGATGGTGTTGATGCAAGTACCGTGCTTGCTCCACTCGTGCGACCAGAAGTTCTCGTTATCCCCATTGATATCAACCCAGTACTCTTCCATGTAGTCGACCAGGTCACAGAGACCCTGGCCCTGCAGGATCGCTGTGATATTTGAGTAAGCGCGCTCCGAGTCGCAGTACGACTGGTATGTGCCATCACAGTTGTCGGGCCTGAAGGGACGGATCAGTCTATGGTCTATGACTTCGGGTATCTACAAGGGGGTGATTGTCTTGTAGACCAGGTTGAATGTCAGTTTTTACGTACCACAATCCGTGGATGGTCCATGAGTCGTCGGGACCGGATGACGGGTTGGTATCCCAGAATTGAGTCTGGAGGAGGGTACCACCTGGGTAATTGAAGCAGCAGGTGGGTTGGGTGGAGGAGCTCGAGCAGCTGAAAGCAGTCCTGCTCGGGCAGGTTTCAAGGTGCCCGCTTGTACCGGTGATTAGGCCCATTGCTGCTAGGGCAAGCATGCCCATTGAGGATTGAGATTGGACCATTTTTTCCCCCCAAGATTGAATAGAGGTTTGTTGAGCTAAGTGAAGAGATGCAAGAGGATCATCGAACGGTTTTATGCTTGGGCTCAGGGATACATTGCCAATGTAGCACATGCACCAAAAGAAAGACGCTGATTTGTTCTCGGATGTCGCCGCTATATTGTACACCGATCGCCTTGGGGGCATAAGTACCATGAAGGACCGTACGGAGTAGTGCTAGTCCAAGTAGGTGACGATCATCGAGCGGGGCAAGGTGAGTGGTGGATTTTTCCCCCCTTCTCTCCAATGACAAGTCAGAAATCCACAACGCACTCAAGCGCTAAATCCTGGTCCGACGGTTTGCGTCTGAAGACCGACAAAACGCCTCTGCATTGACCGGGCTACTCCTTCGGATCTCCGACTGTTGCTCCAAGTCAATCCAAGATGCCTCGACCCTGCAAGATGGAAATCCGCCGATCGCCCAACGCTGACGAACCAAAATGTGTAGCCCTCGATTTGGACTGGATCTGAAAGCCGGTGTTGCTTCACTAGAAAAAGACAATGGCTGTTGTGGGTATCTCTAGGTACAATCCTAGAATTCTACGGGAGTGTCTCGTCCGTGCAGCTGACAGTGCGTTCTCCACATCACGGAACCCGTGTTGGCTTGCTTGGATGTAATGAAATGGAACCAAGAATTATAGAAATTTAAGATAAGAACGGGTCCTGTTCCTCCTCATTGGCCCGTGGAGATAGCCCAAGTCGAATGTGCCAAACGGCGATGACGGCAACAACGAAAAAGAGAGAGGCTTGCAAGAACGGCAGTCCCATCCAGGCAGTTCCAAGATGCATGCCTAACCGGAAGAGGTTGGCAAATATTGGGCCGGAAACAAGTGTTCCCAGGGCCTGTGCAATGGAAATTGCCGAGTATAAAGTGCCAGCATGGTCGAGTTGTACGAGTGAAGTAGCCAGACTGCGTGTGGTGACTGTGAATGATGAACCGATTGACAAGATGACCTGACCACCGATCAAGATAGACGGTGTCGGAGCGATGGAGATAATGACGAACCCAATGATCGAAAGCACGCCGCTACCTTTGCTCAAGAAATGGTCGCTACGTTTCCCATGGAGGTTCAAGTGTTTGACGGTTAAGAATGTCAGGATTGGCATTATGATCAAATATGTCACGATAGAAAATATCCCGCGCAGCGAGATCAAGAGACTGGACTAAATTCTGGTTAATTTGTTTTTCCCATTCGACCGAGAGAGAACGGGCACATACGCGACGAATACTCCAGTCAAACTTCTTTGACACATATTGCAGAAGTAGGTTCGTGGATTGTCGACTCATCATTGTGACGAACATCACGAAAACCATTAGACAGATGTTGGAATCAGTCCAAATGAAACGTGTGGACTGTGTGAACTCGCGAACTTGTCGGATGACCTCCTGCAACACTGTCCGCTTTCTCGGCTGGGACTGCTCGCCTTCGCTATCCTGTTCTGGGCCTTCTCGATTGACTCGCATTCCCTTGGCGTTTCTGAGAGTTTCGGGGAGGAAGAAGACTGGAATACTGCCCACAACAATGATGCAAATTGATAGCATAAAGGGAACCATTGGACCAAAGGTCATCAAATAAGCACTAAGTGGGGTGGCCAGAATTTCTGCGATTTGGATGCAAGACTGTAAACGGAAGAGTGCGGTTGCTCTGGATAGTTGTTAGAATTCACAGCAGAGAACGATCAAATCATCCAAGTACCTCTCATCTTCAGAGAAGATATCAGCTACTACAACCATGGCAATGGCCGTGAGGACTTGGTCGCCACCGCCGATGATCTTGAACACAGCTGACAGCCAGACCATCCGGAGGGGAATGACGGTTGACCATAGACCTAAGTTACGAATTCAGTAAAACACCGGCCAACCAGTTTCACCCACCTACAAACTATCCTGACCCAGATCTCCCCAAGGAGAATGCCTAGCATACTAAGATATACGAGAGGCTTTCGCCCCCAGCGATCCGCCATGACACCGTATGGCAGCGAGAGTAAAAGACCTGCATTTCCAAAATCATTAGCATCCTAAGGTCAGTCTATCGTAAAGGGCACAAACCAGGCACCACATCGAATGCATTTTGGTATCCAATCACAAGCGCCAGTTCTGCCTGTACAGCCTCTGCTTTACACGGGTTGGCCTCTGGAATCAGAGTCCTATTTGCTCTGTGAAGAGGAGCCTGGTTTCGACAGATGATTTCCTCATAGACAGCGATTTGCGGTGCAGTGGACAAGAAGAATCCGAAGTCGACCGATAACAAGAATATAGCACACACGATGGAGATCAGTAGTTTCTTTGGGTGCTGGAATGATTTAGCGTGTGCTAACAGCGGTTCAATTTCTGTGAAGGTGTTCATTGCGTTCATTTGTAGCATTGGGGAAAGAAAAAGAAGCCAAAAGGCAAGGAAGTTGGTGATTACGCCATTCCCCCTTTAAGATTGTTCTCCGAGTCCAATCGCCGTTGGCTTCGGGTGCTTCTTTTCTTCTTTTCTTTTTTTCTTCTTTGTCTTGGCTTTTTGACCTTGTATTGATCTTTCTACTCCGTAATTATCCTGGACACTGGATCCAATGAAAAAATTCCATTTGAAGAGTGTTGTTTAGAACTCGGAGTCCGTCACTTTCATCAACTCCACGTCTTTGACGTATAAGGCTCAAATCATCAAATGGTATCAAAGACAGAATGTCCCTGAATTCTTATGACAAGGACTTCTGTGAAACCAAACCGGCATGAACGCATCCGGGAGGACTAGGAGAAACGTGGTCTTGGAGAATGAGCTGTGTGATCTGTTTCTTTTACGACATCTTCCTAGGAACGTAACCCCACCTTCATGCCGTTCCCATCGGTCTGAGCCCAGAGAGCATGAGCCACTCATTCACCCAGGCGAGGGTGGCGGCAAACCAATACCCAACAAAGATGAGCCGTACAAGTCTCGAGGGGATACAGGGATATCTCACAACGAAGATTGCTGACCGCATTTTCTTGACCACGCAAATATGCAAGTTTCCGTCGGTCTCGCTTTCTGTATGCGCCCGAACCTACACTTTGAGATTTCGAATCTGACCGCCGCCAACACTGTGGAGATCGTGGAAATCCCCGGGGAGTTTCTCGGAGGATTTAGCGAAGACTTTTCCGGCCTTTTTTGCTTTCCTTTTTGGTCTGCGGCTTTCCGTTGCACACGAGCGGGAGTCGGGTGGCGCCCACGTCGTGAAGTCCGACACGTTCGGCTCTGGGCTTGCATTGTCGGAGATGAGATTCTTATCTATCCTGGTGACTTATCCAGATCATTGGTTCTTGGGTTCCTCGTGTTTCACTGTCTGTTCGAGGATTGGTGATACGTGTTCGTCCCGGCTGGTTATCTTTGGGTTGTCACGACTCAAATGTGGGCAATGGACTTTTTTTTTTTCCCCCGCATGGTTCGGCCTTGGGACACGCGGGCAGCCACTTGCTTGCAGCATGTGGATAAGTTGGCATTTCTTCCAACTTCTCGCCGTGTTCTTGAGTGGTTGCCGAGTCTGTGGTCTTTGGACAGCTATTCACGTTAGGAAATTGATGCGAGAATCTTGGTATTTGCGTCTTTACTTCCTGGATAGGACTGCCGTTCTTGCAAGCCTCTCTTTGTAGGACTCATCTACTCCGTAGTAAAGGACAAGTTCGGCATAGTGAACGAGTGAATCATAACCTCTCAATGTAGAGAGTATCACGTCATATCAACATGTCTACGATTAATGGTTGCATCGCACCTTCCACCTCATACACCCTCGTAAATAAAAGATAGTCTTTTTTGACTTTCTATTCTCCTCTATCTGCAGGGTGAGAATGGTTCATTCTGCTAGGCTGCTGCTACTAATAAAAAGGACGGGATGGGCACAAAAGACCATCGTCGGTACACAAGCCATCAGCCCTGAGTCACGAGCCATGAGCAATAAGCATGAAAGAGTGAAAATGGCAGCAAAATTGTCGATGCGCCATATCAGAGCGAGATTTAGGTCATAGCAAATAGCAAGTGAGAGGAATAGCGTTTTCTTCAATTTGACAAACTATGCCACGTTCAAATATCGTTATCTTCTGCCTCATTGTCGTCTCAGATTAGGTTTTGACTTTATTTCCGTTGCATGCCTCGATGCATTCAAGTTCTACAGCAGACACAGAAGGCTCATTAAAGTCATCGGAGTAAAGCACATTGTGGGTGCCAGGGTCTGTCCAGACATTTCCGACAGCTCAAGTAACATTGACGGCAGTCAAAATCTGCCGAAAGCCGAGCTCTCTCTGTTGGGCAGATACATCCGCCCATCTCCTCTACAACGGTGGTTCCTTTGTTTTGGGAATGACTAGTATGCAGCCATATGAGAATAAGGACGAACAGGTATTCTTCTCCTAGCTCCCAGCTCTAAGAAATAATTCAAGGTTAGCATTACATTCTACCAATGTTTCAGGCTAACTTGCAGTGTGAGCTGGTTGCTCGCGCTTCCACTTCATCTTCGAATCTAAAGGTTATTGGAATTTCCTTGGAACGCCAAAAAATTGGACTGTTTCTTGCCTGTTCCTGCTTAGAGTAGAACTGTAAGTAAGGTGTCATAGATACATTCAAGTCTACTTAGAAACTCCAGTCACATTGGCGGTGGCCGTCTCACGAGTAACCCGATCTTGATATGTCGCTGAACAAAAGGGGAATGAAAAACAAATTGATAACTCGACCGAAAAAGTTTTAGCCTTCAGGGGTCTTTTTCTGTCCTCTTTTCGGTGATATTCCCCAAATCTCTCAAAAAGTGTAGACAGGAGGAAAGGTTAGACCAGCTAGGATGGATGTATTCGAGGGGTAATGAGTGTGGTTGTGGAAAGGAAGAGAAATGTTGGAGGAAGGTGAGGGTAGTCATATGACATCTGTTTATATCATCGCTCACCAACCTTCCCTTCACTTATATGTTATGTCGACTTTAAATTGAGTTAATCTACATTTACTTCGAATTCTAAACTGCTAGAACATGCTATCGTGATGAGCCCGACGCTGCGAAGTGCAAAACACTATCGGCACGGACGCAAATTTCTTAGCAAGTGCAGGCAGAGACCCAGGACAGTGAATGAATTTTTAGTACATCACATCATTCGTCTGGCTCCATCTGTAAAATGATTGAGATTATCTGGTTGCTTTTTTGGCTACTAGAACAACGTGCTATGCTTAAGGTGACCTAGAATATGTTGTTTCTGTACTTGCATTTTTTAAGCTACCGTACAACTACTTAATATATCAACCCACCACCACTTAGAAAACACTACCAGCAGATATTCGGAGTGAGTTGACCTCTACAAACTATAGGTCTGAAATGATACTAATGTAGCAAGTTTTTTCGGTCAAACTAGCTTCGCTAGTAGAATCCCACTCGATAGTGCCACAGTAACTGCAAACCATCTACCACCACACTACAAACGAGCAATGTCCCTCAAGGATGGGCGCATCCAAGAACTACTACTAGAGCCTAGACTAAGCTCGTTGACGGTATTCTTCTCAGATCTTACGAAGGTTGGAGGCTGCCCTGCATCTTTGGTGTTTACAATTTTGCCACTTATGTGTCTGTTGTTTTTGGCCCCAAGAGGATGGGAGAAAGACAGAAAAGACATCAGAAAGGAAATCAGAAAAGATAAATAGATAAGCCGTTCAGAGGAAGGTCAAGTCACCATCTTCCAGAGGTTTGCTGCTATGCTTCATACATCTACGTGCTCCCTAGGACGAACATCCCCTTTGAAAGCCAAATTGCTACAAACTTTGCTGTCCAGAATACTAATTTACAGATCAAAAACGAGATTCTCCTCTAAAAAAATCTGACAGACACCAAGATGATGGCCATAGAGTTCTACGCTATCTGCTCCCCAACTTGACTTGGCCTTTTTGCCCAGAAACCTACACGAAGAGCGTATGACCACTAATCCATCTCTCATCTGATCACATATCGGCCGTGCCTTATCCGAACCCGCAACGAGCATGTAGAAAACCAAGGAAATCAAAAATGGCATACGACAGCCCTGCTTCATTGATCCGCGTGACTAAAGTTCACCCCAAGCACAAAGAACACGCCTAGACCCTCGCAAGCCCAACCTCACACGACACTGCAAAAGCATTACACTATAAGAAGATTACGAAAAACAATCCCCCCCCCCCATCCCCATGGTCAAGCACCGGGGTGGCGGCCCTGGAGCCAATATTTGGGGAAAACGAAACCAGCATCTAATAACAGCATGTATGTATCCCAAGTAGGCCAGACAAACAGCGGGTAGGCGTAAGGGCCCCAGTGATAATATGATATCACCAGATTCTCACCAATCAGGGGGGAGCCTCGTCGCCGGCCGCGTAGGCTAGACATGGTTCGTGCTCTGCAGAGTTCCTGCAAAAGCACCTATGTCTGACATTCTCCAGAGAGTTCGATGTGCAGGGGTGAACCAGTTCTTATTGAAGCCTCGATTCTTACTTTTGTTTTTTGTTTTTTGTTTTTTTTTTACGGGCGCATGCTCATCCTACCCTATGTACATCCGTAGCTATTTTGGTACTAATATAGACTGGGCTACATAAGATTGTGGCAGCGGGCATGCATGTATGGGGCTTTGAAGTGAATAGAGCAGATCAGTATGCTTGCACTGGTATGTGATACAGGTGGGATTATTGCAACGCTACATCTTTGCGACACTGTAAGGTTTCCTAATTGTTTTTCTGATTGACAATTCAAGTTCTGGGAACCGATCGAGCTGGATTTTAGTTTCAGACGCGAGTCGCGAATCGCGGTATCAAGTATCGAAGTGTTATGTGTGTGCTCCCTTCATCACGACTCACGTCGGGCCCCTGGGAGCAGACCGGTTCCCAGGTAAGATGTTCACAGGTACACGAGGATGCGTATAGAGGAATCCTCGAAGGGTAACTAGGCTAGATAGAGGAGAACACGGTCCAATAACACTAAGCAAGAACAACTCAACAGGGCTGACCTAGAGCCCTCCCAGGAAGTTGGCACATAGACCTTTGCCACAATAAAGATGGTTCCTGGAAACCGGGAAGAAATCTATGCAAGGCAATGCAAGTCAACGTGGAGTATTCACTGGAGCAACATCGAATTAAAAAAGCAAATCAATAATTTTTTAAATGTCTTAGTGGGCGAACGAGAGGCCGTTATGTGAAGAAAGAAACCAAAGTCAACAAGCAAGGGGAGAGGGGGGATGGGTGTAGGCGGGAGGGAACCCATTGCCAAGGGCACACACACCGAGAGAGAGAGAGAGAGAGAGAGCTACAACGAGCACCGACCAGGTGCCATTTTTGGAGTTGTGCATAATCACGTCTGCGCCAATGCTATTTGGTTGTACTATTGATCACTTGTGCAGCCTCGATCTCTCACGCGTGCTTCCCATAGGCCGCTCCACTTCGTCCCTGCATGATCTGGCCCAAATCCCGGATGTTCTTTGAGAGAAACCACTGTCTGCAGTGTTCAAATTGTATAATGCTTATTTCACTCCCCTGGAGCCCACAATGTGAGGAAATCTACTCCGTATGCCAAGACAAGAGACTACTTCTCTGGCGACACCGATAAAATGATCAGCACTCAGGGTCTTTTTCTACTGCCATTCAACCAGCCGATCGCTGAATTCTTTTGTCGAGAGAGACAGCAATGCATGTTTGGACATTTAGACTCAGTCCTAGCACGGTCCTCGATTAAACAAGCGCTTTGGCTTCAAGAGAGTATACCGTTTATTGGAACATGCCTATCGAACCTAAGTTGAAGTATTGGTATGACATCAGAAACCCAAATTTTTTTTTCACCATGAAATCTGAACGTGAAACGCCCAGTAATGGGCATTCGTAGTGGCGTCAGTGGTACTTGACGGACCTGCTGCACCTGCAGCCCCCCAGACACGGGTGACACTACGGGGAGGAGCGTTGTACATACCGAAGAATGTCAATGTCAATCATCGATCAGTGGTTCGACACCATAATAGGTAGTACAACAGACAGGCAAGTATGTTGGGCCACAATCGAGTGAAAGTTTGCATGGGCGGCCATCTATTGCCGACTCTGATAAAATTGTTTACGACATACGACAGAATAGGCAATTGTGCTGTCATGGCGGGGAGAGGGAGACTTGCATGTCTTGCTGATCACCTAGGCCATCTGGATTATCTGGGCTGCAGTCTAAACTCCGAGTTCTTCGAGCTTCGTGGAAGCGGGGGAGAATCTCAGCAGAGGGCCAAATTTGATAGCTCTATTTGTTTGTTCCGGGTACCTGGTACCTTTCAAGTGAGAAATCGTGCTAATGCAGCCCTCTCCCTACCACATAAGCCCGGACAAGGGTTGCCAATTAGGGATTTGCACGGTGTGTGTGTGTGGACTAGGCGATGGGATTTGCACTGTTTTTCTGGTAGAAAAATCAGTTCGACTATCTACCAGCGCATCAATCCACGATGGTATGTACCCTTGTAGTATGCGATGATAATCAGAAAACGACAACTACTCCGTCACGAGATTATCCGTTTCAGTCGCCACAGCTAGTATACACCTGAAACAAAGTAATGCGATCAACCGAAGACTAGACATCGCAAAGAGCCTCAGTGAGTCACCGCTATCCCAGGTATTCACGGGACCCATTCATCTCCCAGAAGGCGAAAATCCCGTGGTCAGAGCAGCGGTGGCGAGTTGAGCGCTGTAGATCCCTTGTGAATCCTGTAGCCGCAGATGGGAAAGGCATGTACGAAGTCTCGGACGCCTGCCGATCACCCCCAGACAAGCCACACTTTATTCCACAGCCACCGGCGATCGCAGTGGCGTGGCCGAGGAGGCCACTGCGGTTGTGCCGACTACGGTATGACTCGAAGCCACGACAGCCCAGCCATCGAAACCTTCCGATGATAATGGCATTTGGATTGATTGGATGGATGCTTCAGTAGTGCTCTCGGAGGCTCAGGTATTAACCACTATTGCAATCGGATCTTTAGATGATTGTCATTGTGTCTATCGAAAGGCAAAGCCCCCAGATGGATGTAATGTTCAGACGCAGGGGCTCAAAGATCTGGGGGAGCACTGGGATTTGGTCGCCCTTGCTGCACTCAGGTCTGGGCGTTGCGAAATGAATGGACAAGCTCTGGTGGGATCAAAATATCAATGATGCAAAGTTTAAATGTTGAGAAATATTTTGATATCTATATGTAATTTTTTTTTAACTTGTTTATTTTTAATTCCAAGCGGTAGAAATTTTTGGACTTGGCAAGGGTAGCTCCGCGGACGCATATCATCGAATAATCCAATTATCCAATGGGGATCGACAAAAAAATTTAAAAATAAAAATTTAAACTTCCATTTTGGGTCTTGGCGGGTTTACTTCGAAGGTTCCAAGTTTTCGGGATTCCAAGCACAATAGTTTTGAAACAATTGCATGAATCCATGCACCTTACCAATAAGGGCTTGAAGAAGCGTGTCAAACCGGTTTTTGAGCTCATGGGAGATAGCGCTGGTGCATCAATAAAAAGCATGACGAAGAAAGGGCAAGAGTCAATCTGCACGAAATAGAGGGAATTGGAGTGGGGGAGCCTGGCTCGATCGGACCGTCGATATAGAGCAGTGAGCATCCGGAGTGGAGTATCCGGAGTAGCCCCGGCGGACAAAAGCGAAAACGATCGACGAAAGAGGGGCCGAGAAAACGCCTTCCACCCTGAGGGTCCAGAATTTCCTTTTTAACCCCGAATTATGATGGTTTTAATTGTCGATCCACTAGGCCATACATGTAGGTGATACACAGGCAGTGAAATCACTGAATGATCCGGAACATGGAGACTCGGGACCTGCAGAAACCAACATTCGAGGCCGATCGCTATCCAAACGGAGCAAATTTCAAACGAGTGGTGGCGTGAAACGAGCGAGGAATGTAAAAAAGTTTGCCTCTGACGATTAACCAGATAGAGAGCGAAATGGATGCACATTCAAATGGACAATCATTCAGGTTTCAACTGACGCGTGATAGATCCGACAGAAGTGCCTTAGGCCGACACCATCCGAACCGTTGGGGCGGACTTTTCTTCGACCCAGAGGGATGGATGCTAGTTGTTCCCCGAGGGTTGTAGTTCTTTGCTTTTTTTTCTTACTTTTTTTTGGTCTTTCTCTCACATTCCAAGGTCCAAAAAATATTGATTTGTTGGGCTTGGAGTAGCTCTGGCTGAAGGTATGCACGACCATAGATGTAGAGTCGATTGGGGGTGGAGAAGTGGAGAGAGACTAGACTCAAGGAAGATAATGGGAAAAAACAAAAACAAAAGAAAACAAAAGAAAAGACCAGGGCGATCCACCAATTCCTTGGCAGAAAGAAAGAGAGCGGAGATATAGGGGGAATGTTGCACTCACTGTGGAATCTGAAATTGCTAGAGATGCAGCATCAACCAGGTTCGCACAGACCCGAATTAGTTCAACGTCTGACCTATCGCAAAAGTACGGGTAAGATCGGTGCCTACAACATAAAAGGTCAAATTTTTTAGACCTTTTCTTTTTTTTTTTAAGGAAGTTTTTACAACGGTGAAATTTGAATTATGGGATGAGTTTAGCTAATTTTCTTTCGGGGGCAGGGTTTACCTCTTAGACCAGTGGAGAGATCAAGGTGCATTATGATCGACACGGAAAGTCTGGGGACGCGACCTGCATGTCCAAATAGACTCTGCTCACATTTTACGGAACTACAGGACATTCCAAGTGCATCGCTGATTGGAAGAAGATACCCTTCATCAGGAGGGATTCCAAAAACAGATTTTTCCCCTAAATATTTCAAATGTTGAATATCTTTATCTTTTTTAGGGGTGGATTTTTTTTTAAAAAATAAATATCTTAAAAAACTAAAAAAAAGAAAAAAAGGTGAGGGATGACAATCCGCCCCAAGTCTCTCAAGCACCAGGTACCAGGAACAAGCTTCCCCGTGGATCATTGCGTTACTGTGACTCTGTTAAGACATCCGTTCAACACTCCTTGCTGTACTTATAATCTCCCCTCCCCTCCATAGAGACCACCCCCCCCCCCCTAACCCTATATCAACCCTATGAATCTGAGACCAGCCTCCTTCCACTTATCCAACTTAAACCGAAGGGTAACAAACATCCGATCTTGTTCTTGGTGTTTCACAGCTTCACTGCCCATCGTATTATCCCAATTGGGCAAGCTCAGTCTCATTTGAACGCGAAGCAACGCGAAACCACGTGAAACAGCCTTCAAACGTACCGGCCTCGAACGTGAAGTCGATCCCAGCCACAGATCCGTGACCTTTGCCGCGGTAACGGAGGGGGATCTCAGAGTCGACATTCCTAGCCTTGCTTGGAACTTGAACGCGACCTCGAAATTTGGTAAGTTCGAATCTAAGCTTAGACCATGGAGTATAGCTGTAAGTCCGATTCTCCACCCCCCCCCCCTCGGGATTCTATGCTGGACCAATTTGTTTATTTGTGCTCGTTTGTCCACCATTCCCTTTCCTTTTGAACATTCTTTCCATTCCCTATCCTCCGGGACATAATACACATTCTCTTGTCTTCCTTTTTCTCTCTTTCCATCCCTGCCTTTCATTTCAACTCTCCTTTCAATCTTTCTTTTACACTGTCAACCCGCGTGCTATTCAATTGACTGGTCGTCTACTTGACCTCGTCTTTCAATCTTACACAACTATCATCAAATCAATTTTGAAAAACCAAAGAGCAAAAATCCAAAAAAAAAACCAATCACTAAATTCCTCGGCGCAGGTGACACCATCAGCCCAGCTGCATCTCGACATTTCAAAACGGAAGACCTGGACGATATGAGATCTCACGGACAGCAAATCTCGGATCGGTTGACTGTGGAAGTGGACTGCCACTCTCTGGGCCCAAGTGACTGCCCCTCGATGACTTCGAGCTTCTCTCCTTTGGACTCTCCGACTCCTACCCCTACAAGTCTCTACAGCCAAAGCTCAATGGCCTCACCTGTGTGGCACGAGCATTCCCACTACCACCATGGCCTCCCAATGGAGCGCCGTACTTCAGCCACCCCGTTGCGCAGCGCATTTAGGATGACCGATCTGACTGCTGGTGACGGCATGATGAACATGCCCTGCGGTCACATGGACCGGCAGGAGCAGATGCCCCTCCCCGATTATCTTCCTGGATACGATGACAACGTCGAACAACTCTGGATTCCCCAGGAGATGCCAAAGACATACCAGGAGCCTCAGTTTCCTTACCAGGCCTCGATGCCTCAGTACAACCAGATGGCTCGCAACTACTACCACCGTCCTCAGCAGGCTGGATATCTGCCTGAGTCGGCCTCCAATCCTTGCTTGTCTCGTCCGATCTTTACCCAACCCATGGAGCGGATGCCCAACTCCGCCTCGATGACCAACATGCTCCACTGGATGCCTTCCCACGAGTCTTTGGTGCCTCAAACCATCACACCTGCTCAGGTCCAACCATATCCGTCAGGACCCGTCACGCCTCCTTCTTCCGCTTACTCCGACTTCCCCACGAACATTCCGACTTTCAAGTCCCACACTCCTTCTACGCCCCATCGATCCGTGTCCATGGGGACTCCGTCGGGATCCGATACGCCAGTCAGTCGGATCTCCGGACACAATGATTACCAAGAAGAGTTCCAGCTCTCTCCTGTCTATCGTGAAGGCATGATGCAACGTCATCGCCAGCCTTCGCGCAAACCCTCCAAGAAGCAACTCCTGCGCTCTAACCTTAGCCTCGAGAACTTGCCGTCCATCATTAAACAAGTGCAATTCAAGTGCAAGGAGCCTGGCTGCAAGGGGCGTTTCAAGCGCCAGGAGCATCTCAAGCGCCACATGAAGAGCCACTCCAAGGAGAAGCCTCATGTCTGCTGGGTTCCTGGCTGCCACCGTGCCTTTTCCCGCAGCGACAACCTCAACGCCCACTACACCAAGACCCACAGCAAGCGGGGCGGTCGCAACCGCTACGTCGCAACCCTAGATGAGACCAGCCAAGATTTCGACCCCGATTTCCGGGGACAGCTTACCCCCGACGGTCGACCTATCTATGGCAGCAAGCTTGAAGATAGTATGCCTGACTGTGGTGAGCTGAGCGTTGATGGCTGGGATGACTAGTCGCACGACCCCACCCAAAAAAAAAGCAAACCCACCAATCGAAAAACCATGTCCAAAATTCGTTTATACAAAAATCAAAGTCCACGCGATTCTTTTCCAAAGAATACATGGCATCATAGACACACCAACCAGAAACGTGGCCCTCATTGGGCCATATTGATACCCCGTCTCTGGCCCATTGCTTTTATGAAATGGCAGAGGGATTCTGGGGCAGATTGACCTCTGGCCGCGGCGTTGTACATGTCTCCTAGCGGATAGGAGATGGTAGATTTATCCTCTTGTTTTTCTCTTTTTTCTTTTTCTTTTTTTTTATTTTTTTTTCCTTTCTCTTGCATAATTTGTCTGGTGCTAATGGCTGGGAGGTTATATTCTGAACATGGAACTTAGGCGTTGCATATGTCTTTTTTTTTGGTCCTCGGGGGCATCGCCAACTGGGATAATCATTTGGGAGGACGCACTCGGGGGCGATCGTGTACAATCTGCTACAACTTGCTTTAATCTTTCTGTTGATCGCTTGTACCACCACCCTATTGTCACATACGGGCCTAATATACACAAAAAAATCGAAACTCGAGATCTACATTGTTGCACCGCATTACCAGTGCCGCAGTTCTCTCCCGCATACCACTCTTCAACTTACCACCATCTCGGGTTGAACTCGTGTTACAACATGACAATCTTCTCACTTTGCATCTCGCACGGGTGCCAATATCGAATGACTTGAGACAGGCCCCTAAAATGTTACACATCACACCCCTCGGGGCTCTAGGTCAGTTCCTTGATCTCTCTAAACCGATCTATCCGCAAGTGTGGATCAAATGTGGAACAAATCGGGCCTACTGCAGAAATCGAGCCTGATCCATCTGTACTTTTCACTCGGCTTTTCTCGAAGCTTTCAACACTCCACCCCGAAACGGGGGCCTTCCTATCCGGTCTCAAAATGGCCATGTCATCATCTCTTCACCGCGGCTATGGGCATCGTTCACCATCACAATCCTACTACGATACGATTGATGGGGAACATAGTGTCCCAAACATGCACTGCGACACTACAAAATACTACATACCACAATGGACGAGCCGATACTCCACTCCTTGACCCGCGCCACTTTCGACAGCGCAACAAATATCGCTAGTAGCATGTATCAGACAGCCATGTGGAGCCCCGTTCACCCGTTCTCTGTGAAGACTGAAGACCCCGTGAAAAAAATGGCCTTCAACCTTGTTCTAAGTGTCGCACAGGGCGCAACAACAAAATCAGGACGAAAACGAGACCGGAATGAGAAAAGGCAAAAAGGGAAATTCAACATGCGACTTTGTACCGACTGCGTGGCAAAGGATCCCATACGGTCAAGAGCCGCGCTTCTATGTGCCTGGCCTTTCGCAAAGGTGGATTTCCATGCACCACCCCCCATTTCTCATTCCCATCTCCTCGGGTACTGGCGCTTTCCAAGCAAAAGAACCAGAGATCAACGTCCGATGGCAAAGGTCCCGTTCTTTTCTGGATGAACTTCCATTGCTTTTTCCACCCGTGATCGTCGTGCATGGAATATCTTACCGTTCTTCCAAGCCCAACTAGCGCAGGATGTTGAAGATTTTTTTTTAAGATCCTGCACATCCACTACCGGCATACACATTCTTTGTTCTTGTCGATTGCAAACTACAAAGAACAACATCCAATGGCCTAGCCTTCATTTTGTCCCGATAATTAGGGAGATAATCCACTAGCTCTTAACTGCATTCCCCAAGTCAAACTCAATGATTCCAAATCCCCATTCCAAATAGCCAGAGTCCACCGCTACACCGATGCTCTTGGCAAATTGTGCGGTGAAGAAGCACGCCGTTAAATTAGGCCGACCATGCCCTGCATGTATTGATCCTGTTACACCGAGATATGCATATGCCACGCCGTACAAGTTGGGAATGGGAGCACCCCCCCCCCTCTTCCCTAACGGCATGATTTGCGGGAATGATATCCAACCGCCTTCCCACTCTGTTGGTATTTCCTTCCTTGATTTCGTCCGTCTACCATGCACAATAGTACCGATGAGCATTAATATCTGGAGATGCACCCACCTATCCGCCAATAGGCTATTGATCCTGTACAGCCTATTTTTTGTTTTTCCTGGTCACAAATCGTTCCATTTCTGGATTGCATGCGTGAACGATCGGTGAACTATTTCCGCTTCGTACTCGCCCTACTACTCTAGACCCAGTGGTCCCATTGTAGCGACCACGAACTTGTTTGGTTTTAATTTCCGCTAATTTCCGCTAATTTCCGCTAATTTCCACTAATTTCCAGATTTGGAACCCGATTTGAAGGCATTATCACATCACTACACTTTGTGCTAGTGTATCACATTCCAGGGGCAAACTCTCCCACTTGGATGATCACGATCACCACACCGAATGGGTATGTCTGTGCGCGTGTACTTTGTGGTCGAGGTAAAATGCAGTGATGGCGGGCATCAAATTTTGGAACAGTATAACGACAAACCTTCCAGCATTCGTAGCCAGTCGTATCCGTGTTGATGCAATGATAATCTTGCTTGGCGTTCATCTGCGACCAACCCTTTTCGATTGACCCTGCATGCACACTATACTGATCTAGGTAGAACTAACTCTGCGGAGGATACAATGTGCATGCCTTGGAATGTGATATTAAAACGAAGCCAGCTCTAGACTGTGAGATTGAGTTGTTTTAGTAGGGTTGGTTTTCTGGAGTGATCTTCGTTTCGCATGCAATGCAACGTCAATACTACTACCCTCTAAAAGAGATCTCTGGCGATTCTTATTCACTCGGCTCCCTTGGTCCTCAGGTGATGTCAATTGCAAAGTCGGAAGACACCCGAACCCCTCATGAATCCTTTGAAATGTGCGTATACTCTGTCCTCGGCTGTTGACATCTTTCCTGGTTGGGAACACGCTTAGTCACTTCCAAACCTCCAGAGGTCGGGACCCACCAACGCTGACACACTATTTACGTAATCACACGATATAAAAATCTCAGCGCTCCGATTTTCAATAGCTTCTTCATAATAAATCTGCCTTCTTTTGTCGGCCACCATCCAGCAACATGCTTTGCCAAGTCTTTGCCCAAGGGATTAATGTCGTCTCCTGGTTATTGGCCTGAGCATTGTCTCTATCTAACCCCCCCTCGGCCTCATGAGACAACTCTGGTCCCTCCGTACTATGATGATCACCATTTCTATTGACATGAACTTCTCCATGAATGTTTCAAAAATTATCAAGCTCAACAGTCTGAGTACCGATTGACCAGAGAAGAGTCTCAAGGGGCGATGGCCTCTGGTCATTTCATTTGGGCCTTGCCAGTGACGATGTCTTCTAAATACCTCCCCTCCCCCCTAATTTCATAGCTCTGCCCGATACCTTTTGTATCCAATTGAATACTTACAAGATTGCCTCGTGCCTTTCCCTCTCCCACAGCTTTGCAGCTCATAGCACGGATGTCAAATTGCGATCCGGCCCTTTCATGGCCGCGGTCGCGCCGAAGAAGTGCTTATATCGAAATGGAGATTTATCTCCCTAGCCAGTGAGTACTAGATTTTTGTCCTACGGTTCGCCCGAGGTGTCAAACATCCATTGAAGATCTGGAACATGAAACATTTCGTAGACTTTGTATTAAACATAAATGAATTTGTCATCGTGACTGAGCTTCGTCTGGTCCCTTCTCTGCTTGAGCATTTGGACTTCTCTTTGACTGGAGCTTCAAAGCAACAGTGAATGCTCCGCGATCAAGTGTCAATGTTCATAATGTCATTCATTGTTAAAATCTGTCAAGATGTCTCCTAGTGGAAATAGGATCGAGCAGAATTGAGCTATCAAGCTATGATCGATCCTTGCAACCAGACTAGACCGACATACAGATGTCTGTCTAGATAAACAGCATCCAATTCTTGCATTTTGTGTTGTCAAATTCGAGGTATTTTCACATTGCAATTTTCAATCCAAACCCCATAGTCGCGTCGTGATGTCAAAATAACTCCTGTACAGAATGGTATCGAGTTTGATAAATCCCAGGGTTCCCACCGAAAGCCACGCCCAAATAGTACAATTAAAGAAAAGAAGATAAAGGAGCAGTTGAAAAGAGACAAAACGCCATCCTCTCCAATCTCCACAATGCCTGGTCCCTATACAAAACCCCGAGATTTCTTTAGAAAAAAAACCCCTAGAAAGAACGAGAAAAGAAAAAGCCAAGAGAGCCAGTGAGCGGTTCTTAACCAATGACCCACTGCCGTGGGGTATATGCTGATCAAAAACCAATCTCGATCCAGATTTTACACTGGCGAAATTGTAAATGTGAAAAAAGCTTCTGACCTCGCAAGTTATCATCAAGCTCATATGTTGCCATGTTATAGCAGTTCCAGCAAACAGACTACGCTCAGTTATTCATACCACCCATACTATGCATCGAGCCCTGTGCTTGCATTTGCTGGGCTTGCAACGCAGCTCGCTGTTGCTGTCCGCCATCTCGCTCACGTCGCATAACCTCGGAGACCCAAGCTTTCGCGGTCTTTTCTAGCCCAGGACCATACTGCTGCGCAATATTTGAAGGGTACTGGTTTGGCGGGCCATACTGAGCCATGTAGCGCGTCGACATATCATGTCGCATGCGAAGCAGTCGTTGTTGGTAGAGCTGAGTGTATCTTTGTGCTTGATTTATGGGCTGTCCGTTTTGACCCATTTGGCCACCATTCGCCTGAGCAGCCGCCATCAGCATCTGCTGCTGTTGGTGGTTTGTTAACTGCTGATTGCCTTGGTGTGGCTGGGCTTGTTGGCCCTGCATTTGTGGGTGCTGGCCTTGCTGTTGATGCTTGACTATTTGCATCTGCGCATATTGAGCACGCATTAACTGAGCCTGGTATGCTTGCTGGCCTTGCTGAGTAATTTTAGGAACACCCTGATGGGTTTGTTGTTGTTGTTGTTGCTGCTGCTGCTGCTGCTGCTGTAGCATTTGGTGTTGATGAGATTGAATATTT